AAAGGGGATGCAGGAGCAGTGGGACCTGGATATCTATATGTACAGATCATTGAAGGTGGCAGGACCACCTTCAGAAGAGGGCAGTTAGTTAAGCACATAGTATTCTCATCTTTATTAATAGAGACATAGAGTACAAGAGTAGGGAGGTGATGTTGTGTAGATTAGATAGGAGAAACTTTTCCCACTTGTAAAAGGAACAAGAGCAAGAGGGTATAGATTTAATGTGATCTGCAAAAGCAGCAAGGGTGAAGTGTGGAAAAGTTTTCACACAGTGAATAAAAAGGGCATGGAATTCACTGACTGGAAAGGCAATGGTGGAAACAGATTCAATATAGGCATTCAAGAGGGCATTGAATGATTATTTGGGCAAAATAATGAACAAATGTGTGGGGAAAAGAACAGTAGGCAAGCACAAGGTAATGATGCTATTTAATGAGCCAGTACAGACACAATGGACTGAATAGCTTCTTTCTGTACCATAACAACTCTGTTTCTGAGATGTCAGGATGGTGAGTGGCTTAGAGGAGGGGAACTTGCAGATGGTGGTATTCCCATGAATCTGCTGCACTTGTCCTTCTAGACGGAAATGGGCGTAGGTTTGGACCGTGCTGCCTGACGATCTTAGGTGAATTTGACAGTGTTGACAGTGGGACATTCAGTGATGAATATGCCATTGAATGTCAACAGGTGATTATTAATTTCTCTCTTGTTGGAGATGGTCATTGCCTGGTGTTTGTGTGATATGAATGTTATTTGCCACTTGTCAGGCCAAACCTGAATATTGCTGCAGTCAGACATAGACTGCTTCAGTATCTGAGGAGTTGCAACGGTGCTGAACATTGTGCAATTACTGGTGAACATCCCCACTTCAGACCTGATAATGGAGAGAAGGTCATTGATGACGCAGCTGAAGATGGTTGGGCCTAGACCGGAGGAAGTCCTGCAGAGATGACCTGGAACTGAGATGACTGACCTCCAACAACCACAACCATCTTCCTATGTGTGAGTTAGAGGATCATACTGAACAGTGGAGCATGTGCAATGAACTGAATGGTTCTTGTGTTTTACGCAGTTAGAGAGTTGCTGGATCAGCATAACTTCTACAGCAGAGTTTGGTGAAGACACTCAACCAGCAGAGAGATTTCCCACTGAAAACAATTGCTAGTGCTACTTGTGCTAGTGCTACATTCAATTAAATACAGCAATGCTGTCAAGGAGGAGATGATACCAGACTATTAGTTTAGAAACTCAGTTAATGTTCTGGGGACCCGAGTTGAAGCAGTACTACTGATTGAGCTGGTCGGGTCCTAAAGGACATATCTGCCGCAGACCCAGTCTAGCAACTGGTGAGGGAAAGGACAAGAGGGAAAAACATACTTGACCTCATCCATACCAAACTACCAGCTGCAGTTACGTCTGTCCATGATGGTATTGGTAAGAGTGACCATCGCTCAGTCCTTGTGGAGATGAAGTTCTGTGTTCGCATTGAGAATAACTTCCATCGTATTGTGTGGCACTATCACCGTGCTAGATGGGACAGACTTCGTACAGACCTAGCAACACAAGACTTGGGCATCCTTGAGCCGCTGTGGGCCATCAACAGGAGCAGAATTGTACTCCAGCACAATTTGTAACCTCATGGCCTTATATCCCCCATTCAACCATTCTCATCAAGCCAGGGGAACAATTCCTGTTCACTGGAGAGTGCAGGAAGGCATGTCAGGAGCAGCACCAGGCATACCTGAAGATGAAGTGTCAACCTGCTGAAGCTACCAAACAGGACTACTTGCATGCCAAACTGCATAAGCAGCAAGTGATAGGCAGAGCTAAACCATCCCACAACCAATGGATCAGATCTAAGCTCTGCTGTCCTGCCACATCCAGTCGTGAATGGTGGTGGATAATTACACAACTCACTGGAGGAGGAGGCTGCACAAATACTCCCATCCTCAATGATGGAAGAGCCCAGCACATCAATGCGAAAGAAAAGACTGAAGCATTCGTAGAAATCTTCATCCAGAAGTGCCAAGTGGATACATTATCCCAGCCTCCTCCAGTGGTTCCCAGCATTACAGATACCAGTCTTCAACCAATTCGATTCACTCCACATAATACAAGAATCGGTTGGAGACACTGGATATTGCAAAGGCTATGGGCCCTGACAACATTCCAGCAATGCTACTGTAGACTTGTGCTCCAGAACTTGCCACTCCCCTAGCCAAGCTCTTCCAATACAGTTCCAACTCTGGCATGTACCGAACAATGTGGAAAATTGCCCAGGTATGTCCTGTAAAAGCAGGTCAAATCCAACCTAGCCAATAACCGCCCCATCAGTCTACTCTCAAACATCAGTAAAATGATGGAAGGTGTCATCAACAGTGCTTTCAAGCAGCACCTGGTCAGCAATAACCTGCTCAGTGACGCCCAGTTTGGGTTCTGCCAGGGCCACTCAGCTCCTGATCTCATTGCAGCCTTGGTTCAAACATGTAGAAAAGAGCTGAATTCCAGAGGTAAGGTCAGAGTGACAGCCCTTGATATCAAGGCTGCATTCGACCAAGTGTGGCATCAAGGAGCCCTCGCAAAACTGGAATCAATGTGTATCGGGGGCAAACTCTCCGGTGGTTGGAGTTATACCTGACACATAGGACGATGGTAGTGGTTGTGGGAGGTCTGTTATCTCCACTCCAGGCCATCTCTGCAGGAGTTCCTCAGGGTAGTGTCTTAGGCCCAACCATCTTCAGCTGCTTCATCAATGACCTTCCCTCCAATATAAAATCTGAAGTGGGGATGTTCACTGATGATTGCACATGTTCTGCATCATTCACAACTCGTCACATATGAAAGTAGTCCATATTCAAATGCAACAAGATCTGGACAGTATCCAGCCTTGGGTTGACAAGTGGCAAGTAACATTCACACCACACAAACGCCAGGCTATGACCATCACCAATAACAGACAATACTGCCATTTGACATTCAATGGTGTTACCATCACTGAATCCCCCACTATCAACATCCTGGGGGTTATTGTTGACCAGAAACTCAACTGGACTCACTACATAAACACTGTGTCTACAAGACCAGGTCAGAAGCTGGGAATACTGTGGTGAGTAACTCACCTCCTGACTCCTCAAAGCCTGTCCACCATCTGCAAGGCACAAGTCAGGAGTATGATGGAATACTCCCCACTTGCCTGGATAAATGCAGCTCCAACAACACTCAAGAAGCTCGACACCATCCAGGACAAAGCAGCCCACTTGACTGGCATTACATCCACAAGCATCCATTCCCTACACCACGGAGACTCAGTAGCAGCAGTGTGTACTGTCTACAAGATGCACTGCAGAAATTCACCAAAGATCCTCAGACAGCACCTTCAAAACCCACAACCACTTTGATCTTGAAGGACAAGGGCAGCAGATACATGGGAACACCGCCACCTGCAAATTCCCCTCTAAGCCACTCACCATCCTGACTTGGAACTACATCACTGTTCCTTCACTGTCGCTGGGTTAAAATCCTGGAATTCCCTCCCTAAAGGCATTTGTGGGGCGACCTACAGAAGGAGGACTGCAGTGGTTCAAGAAGGCAGCTCACCACCAGCTTTTCAAGGGCAACTAGGGACGGGCAATAAATGCTGGTGATGCCCACATGCCACAATCGAATTTAAAAATATCACTCTCGCCTCACCTTTGGCATTCAGCTCTTCTGTCCATGTTTGGCCTAAGTCTGTAATGAGGTCAGGAGCTGAAAGGCCCTGATAGAACGCAAACTGAGCATCAGAGAGCAGGTTGTTGCTAAGAAAGTGCTTACTTGTTAATGAGAACTGTTGATGACCCCTTCTATCAATTTACTGATGATTGAAATTGGATTGATGAGGCCGTAATTGGCCAGGCTGCATTTGCCCGGTTAAAATCTTCCAGCTATGCACATGAACAATGGAAACACATCAATTTTGTTAATATTCTATCAGAGTTGTATTTGATGTGATAGCTTCCCATGTGTGCAAAAGTGTGCCAAAAACTTTTGTGCACTTATTCCTGTTCCTTTATAATCAATTCATATTGATTTCTGTGGATCTAAGGACTAGCATCGAGGAAATCAATGATTTTCTTGAGTGTCATGGTTTTAAGTTTAATGGAGAGTTAATAATTATTGAAATATTAATAAATCTGTCTCTGTGTGAGTCCAAATATGCCATATGTTCAATCAAATACATTGTTACTTGCTGATGGCATCACCAAATAAAGGAATCAGTGAGAATGAAAAAGTACCCCCAGAAAATCAGCAAGTGACCCTCAAAAAAATCCCAAGAGGAACCCTTAACAGAAAGTATTTCTATACCTTTTCAAAATCCTGAACTGCCTCCCTTAATGGCATTGTAGGTGTAAACTGCACCCCATGTACTGCAGCAGTTCAAGAAGGCAGCTCCCCTCCATCTTCTCAAGACTCAATTAGGGATGGGCTAAGATAAACCATTTGGGCCAAGTATCCTGTTTCTATGCTGTAGTTCTGTACTTTTTTGATGTATGAAGCATCTGGCCAGGTCACATCTATGGTAAGGGAAACTGGTAACATTTCAGGCTGACTTGACTTTGTCACAACTACCCTGCGACCTTACAGAGAAGAACAAGCAAGGATTTCCAGCACTTTCTCTTTTCATTTCAGATTTCCAACGTTTGCTGTATTTTACATCATAACACTGTCGCTAGTTAGACGGTTTGTGTCAGTTACCTTGTCGTTTCCACTCTGCGGCAGGAAACTACAAGCTGGAGAAAGCCCTTCTTTCCTCCCAGCTGTCTGTTGTTATCAGTTAGAATGATCACCAGCGTGGGTAGTAACCTAGGGTAACATGAGACCTTCGCTGTTTTCCCTGTAAATGGAAATAACTACTGTTGACGACAGATGTCACATAAAACGTGCCATTGAGCTTCTTGAGCCTCAGTTGCACCTCCAGACGTGTGTTGGGAGTTTGTACAGGTATATATTTTTCAGCATCAATGAAAGGCAACTGCAAATTAATGCAATACTGGGCCAGTCGAGGTAGGTTCAACAGTTTATCTAGTGCTGCTCCTTACCTTTCTGCTCTATTCTTGCAAGCTGTCAGAACAGTGGTTACATATTCCTTTGTTAAAGTGAACTTGCATTTTGGATTTCTTATTTTTCACACCAGTATTGTGGTCAGGGAAACACTCGATGAGATTAATCGAGATATATGAGAGAGACCTTCAGGAGAGATTGTTTTTTGATGCAGTGAGTTGTTGTCTGACAGGGTGGTGAAAACAGATTGCATCATTTCTGTCAACGGGAAATTGGATAGATATATGAAGGAGATAGGTGCTGGGATCTGAGGAAAGAGCAGGGAAAGGTAGCACAGAAACTATTGGCTGAATGGCTTCCTTCATTTAAAATTTTAATTCATTTGTTATATGGGCATCACTGGCTGGTCTAGCCATTTATTGCCTGTCCATAGTTGTTCTTTAAAAGGTCGTGGTGAGCTGCTTTGAATTGCTGCAGTCCGTACTGAGATTCCCTCCTTAATGGTATTGTGAGTGTGTTCCAGGAGTTAGATCCAGTGATACTAAAGGAATGGTGATTAAAACGATATATATTTATATATAGATCAGGATGGGGAGTGGTTTGGAGGAGAACTTGCAGGAGGTGACATTCCCATGTATCTACTGTCCTTTTCCTTCTAGATGGAAATGGTTGTGGATTTGGAAGGTGCCTTGGTGAATTTCTGTGCTTCATTTGATAGATAGTACACATTGTTGCTACTGAGCGTCAGTGGTGGAGGGAGTGGATGCTTATGGATGTGATGCAAGTCAAGTGGCTTCTTTGTCCTGGATGGTGACCAGCTTCTTGTGTGTTGTTGGGGCTGCACTCATCCAGACAAGTGGGGAGTATTCCATCACATTCCTGCCTTGTAGATGGTAGACCAGCTTTGGGGAGTCAGAGGTGTGTAAGACTCCTAGCCTCGCATGTGAAATGATAAAAATAAATTCTCACTGATGAAGTGAAAAGCTCCTGGATCTTATCGTGGCTCCTAAGTCAATTCATTATAATCGGCAAAAAAACTAGGGCAACAGGAAGGCATTAATCGAGACAGCGTTCTCTACAACGATTGCAGAACCTGTTTGGCACAGCAGTGGCTAAACACCTCTCTTGCAGATGTGTAGACTCACACACAGCATGTAAGATTAGATTTAAGAATCACATGGGGCATAGAAACTTAGAAAGAAAACAGAAAATATGAGCAGGTGTAGGCCATTCAGCCCATCATGTCCACTCCACCATTCAAGATGATCATGGCTGATTTTCTGTCTTACAGCCATACTCCCTTTCTCTCCCCAAATCCCTAGACACTTTAGCCGCAAGAAATCTATTTCTTTTTTAAGTGTATTCAGTGACTTGGCTTCCACAGTATTCTGTAGGAGAGAATTCCACAGGTTCATCACCCTCTGGGTGAAGATATTTCTTTCGTTTCAACTCAAAATAGCCAACTGTGTATTTTGAAATCATGAACCCTTGTTCTGGATCTCCCCTTCCCCCCCAGGCAGGGGGAGACATCATCTCTGAATCCAGTATGTCCAGACCTGATGTAGCTTTTTGACTACATTTCTATACAGTTTATTTTCTTCTGATGGAGAAATCCTAATTATTTCAATGCAGTTTACACTCTGACTCCTTGATCCTCATCTCCCCTGTGCCATTGAGAGGCTGGCTGGATTGCAAATTGACCCTCTGTCTGAAGATAGGTCTAGAAAGAATTTGTGAAGCTTGAGGATGCCTTGGAACATGCTCCCATTGGGAAGATGCCTACTCTCCACTTCAAAATGCATTGAGTTTGGGATCCTGGTGTCTGGTTGGTTTACAACTATGGAATCCTTGTCGGGTCCCAAAGGATCAATTGGGACTTTCAGTCTCAGTGGGTTTACTGTTGTTTGGCAAGTCGAGTGAGTTTTAAGGGATTGGAATACAGATAGGGAAGTGGAACTGAGGTCCAGATCAATCACACAAGCTGAAGAGTGACGGTTGAATGGCTTCTTTCTGTTTCAAAATCACAGAACAGTTACAGCACAGAAGGAGGCCAGTCAGTCTGTCCTGTCTGTGTCATGTCTCCACAGTCTCCTGATGCCACTTCCCTGACTTTTTTCCTCCTCAGGTAATAACCCAATTTCCAATTGAATGCCTCAATTGAACCTGCCTCCCCACACTCTTAGACAGTGTATTTCAGATCCCAGCCACTTGCTGTAAGAAAAGATGTTTCTTGATGTCACCATCACTTCTTTTGCCAATTATCTTAAATCCATGTTCTCTCATTCTTGACCCTTTCACCAATGGCAACAGTTACTCTCTCTGTATTCTGTCCAAAACCTTCATGATTTTGAACACTTCAATCAAATATTCCCCCAGTCTTCTCTTCTCCAAGGAAATGGTCCCAACTTCTCCAATCCATCTTTGTAACAAAGTTCCTCATCTCTGGGATAAATGTTGTGAATCTTTTCTGTACCCTTTCTATCATATTTTCCCCAACACAGAGCACAATGCTAGAGTTTGTTTGTAGGATTGGAATTGATTTTTACAGTGGGCTTTTAATCCCTTTTTCTCAGAAGAAGGCAGCACAATCCCAAAGGTGTTAATTATAAACCTGGGGGAGCCTCTGGTTAAACCTTTCTGGTTAAAACTTCAGATGGTTCAATGAAGCAGCTCCTCAAGGAGCAAATGGTTGCCCTCATATACGCCCTCCCTTCCCCCATCCACATTATTAACACCCTGATACTACAAGGAGCCTACTTTTCTGCATTGAATAGGTTAAAGAATTCACGTGGTTCACTAAGAAGACAGTAGCTTTCATGTTGAAATTTTGAGTTTGCCTATTAACTGTCAACATGGATCAGAAAGCTGCCCCATCGGTAGGGAGGATGAGAAATCAAACCCCAAACATGCAAAACCACCTCAGGAAGCCTTGGAAGTGTATATCACCATTAGACCAGTGTACACAGGGGCCCGAACAGGCTAGTGAAAATATCTACATTCGGAGCTGAAAGAGTTAAGTTACGAGAAGGAGCTGTATGGTTAAGGTCTATATCCTTTCAAGCATAAATCTGATCAGATCAAGGGGTTTAAGGTAGTTAAACTATTCAATAGAGGGAAATTATTTTCTCGGCGTGCAGCAGTCCAGAACCTTCAAATTAGACCATTCAAAGGGGACTGTAAGGAAACACGTAGTCACACAGAGGAAAGCAGAAATCTGGAATGTTCCACACACCCAAAACATTGCTGCTGTACTTGGGGGTCAATTGAAAATGCCAAAACTAGATTTTTGTTAGCTCTGCCTGAGGGTATTAAGGCATAAGGAGTCAAAGGAGCTAATGGAGTTATAATACACATCAACCACGGTCGATTCGAATGCTGAAACAAGTTAGAGGAGCTGAATGGCTTCTTGCTGTTCCTATTCCTTCATATTACTAAGGTGACAAAGATGTTCACTTAGAAAACTAGCCAGATAGGACACGGGAATTTGCAGAGTCAATCCCAAACTTAATTTCAGCTTCACAGATCAACAAAATAAAGCAGTAGCAGGGCCAGGAATTTAATCGTCTCCCAGAGCTTCAGTGCGTTTAAACTATCACCCTCAGCTTGATTTCCTGAGGTTCTAACAGGCCCCCACAAAACCTTGGTGCTGTGTTTATTTTGTCTGCTGAGCTATACTGAAGGGTTACAGATGTGCTGGTGTATACTGAGGAGACTTTCAGATATGCTGGAGTATACTGTGGGGATCTACAGATGTGCTGGGGTATACAGGGGAGATTAGCACATGTGCTGGAGTATACTGGTGTTAAAGAGGAATAAGTTAGCAGAGAGAGAAAAAAAGCTGACCAAAAGTTTTGTCAAAATAAAACCAGAGATGGAATCTTTTCTTACTGCGGGATTAAAGAGAACATTAAGCTATGCGTCAGCAAGCAAAGATTGTAGAAGGTGACTGATAACTGTATCTTCTGAACGGTCGTGGCTGATTATACCCAGTGCTGGTGAACTCATGGGCGCACTTTTTCCACCTCAGACAATGTGTGGTACAGTCGACCTTTATTCCAGTCTTCACCTCTGATCTTCATGCAACCTCAACTCTCGGTGGCACAGGAGAAAAGGACTCATAACTTCTCCAAATCAAAAGGGATCTGGCCTTATCTCAAGTTTCCACAGTTAAAGGTCAGTATGTCATAGTCTCACACTGTTCTGTAGATAAGCTTAAGGATTTGTGCATGTCTGCTCAAAGGTAGATGTTCTAGATTTCAAAACTTTACATTTGCTTAACCTTCTGGATGAAATTGATATTCATTATCAGTAATAAAGCAGAAGACCATTCAACCCATGGTGCTTGTACTAGCTCTTTGCCAGAGAAACCCGATATTAGTTACAGTTGTTCCATTTTCTACGTGTTCCAAGGATGCTTTACAATGTTGATCTCTTCTTCAAAAGGTGCAAGGCTGTCTTGCCAACCATGCACTGTGAATTCACTATATAATTCCTCTCGATCTCTTTCCCACTCACTCTATGGGTTCCAGGACCACAGGGAACTTCTTACTCTCTCAGAACTTCGGCTGATTTCAAAAACTTAAATTTATCGCCTTCCATGATTCTATGAGTTCAAACTGGAATCTTCACCAGCTGTGAATCTGACCATTTATTGCATATTTTGGGCCTCACTTAACCCTCACCTTCTCTTCTGTGTTCATCCTTGACTGTCTTTAGCTCCTGCTGTGGGCAAGCCATTGTCTAGTCAAATATTCAGGGTGACATGTAGCTAATAAAACTCGCAGCCTTATGTTAAAAAGCAGCAGCAAAGATCACTAATAGATATTTAAACTAGCAACTCTATAGCTCCACTTATTTTGGTAACTCCAGTTTGGTTTGTAATTTTCCATCTGCAGTCTAAAAACATGGGAACAGGAGTAGGCCATTTTAATCCTTTGAGTCTGTTCTGCCTGCTGCGTTGGATGATTTCTGATCTGTATCTACCCAACTTTGCTCCTCAAATTCCTGAACATCTTTAGCAAATGAAAATCTGTCAGCCTCCACTTTGCAATTTGTACCTCTACCTTCCTGACCTCTGGGGGAGAGAATTCCAGACCTTTTTTTTGTATGAAGAAAGTATTTCCTTACATTAGTCTGAAAGAGTCTAATTTTGTCTTGGTGCTTGTGGTGACCCCACCGTCAGTTTTCTCTTCATGTCTTTTACAAGTCTTCATCTGTTTTCTCATCAGTCCTTTCCCATTTCTTGTCACATGGCCCAGGGACACTTCCTGCTGCAGTCATCACTCATTTTGACCTTCTCCACATTTGATGAGGTGACTGTTTTGCAGAGAGGTGGACAGGGCTATTTAACCAATGTTTCAGCTGAAAAACAGCCTGAAAACACCCTGAATTCACATCTTCTTAGCTCAACACTGGACAAAGAGGTAAGTTGGGAGGAACCTACAATTAAATAGCACCTGTCACTATCTTAGGACTTTCTAAAATGTCATACAGCCAATGAAACATTTCTGAGGATCATTACCGAGGTGTAGCATGTTGTTGCATTTGGAAACAGGTCAGCCAATTTGTATACAGCAAGCTCCCACGAACAGCAATTTGATGTGTCAGTTACATTAGTTAATGGGGAAATATTGAGCAGGATACTGTAGATATCTCTCCAGTTCATCTTCCAAATAGTGTCTTGTGATCTTTTACACCTACCCAAGAGGGTAGACAAGGTCTCAATGAGCATCTTTGACAGTGTAGTACTCCCTCAATACTATACACTGTCAGAGAATCAGTATTGAGGGAATACCACATTGTGAGAGGATCAGTACTGAGGGAGCACTGCACTGGCAGAGGGTCTGTACTGAGGGACTGCTGCACTGTCGGAGGTTTAGTACTAAAAGAGGATCATAAGGGATGTTGTTATTTCTTGACTGTGTACTGAAGTGGAGCCTTTGCAACATTTTGAGCAGTGAGGATAAGTAATGCAATGTTTTAATTTGTATGAAACCTAAAATGTTCTGACGGGAATCACACAAAATGTAAGACATAAGAAGAGGCTATTCAGCCTATGATGTCTATGTTGGCCAGTGAAGAAATAACCAGACTAATCCAACCTCTTGCACTCGATCTGTACCTCTGAAAGAGTGTTGCACTGTTGGAGGGTCATGAGGATTGTTGTTACTGCAAAAGTGTGATTGATGAGGCACTTTGACTGTATCAAAGTGGAGCCCACGCAATGTTTCGAGCAGTGAGGATAAACAGTGCAGTTTTTTTAATTTGTGTGAAACCAAATTATAGATCACAGCTCTTCTCAAATACACCCAGATGTTTTGTAAAAGTGCTGAGGGTTTCTATCCCTCACCCGCCCTCACACCCTCTAACCCCCACCACCCCCTTTCAGGCTGTGAGTTCAGACCCCAACCACCCTCTGGGTGAAAAGCTGTTTCCTAATCTCCCCTCACTGAAATGGAACTTGCCGGAATTGCTATGATTTCCCACAGACACCGTCTGGACAGTGTAACCACCACTTTAACTAAAAGAAGTTTAACTGAACTGAGTTATAGTATGTTGTCTCCCACACGCTGGGACACGAGGAGAGAACTGGAGAGAACAAGAGTTTTTGGATTTCTTGGTAATATTTAAAGCTGTCGAGTAGAGGAAAAAATACCTTTTATCCTGTTCAGATGACATCATTCTTGTTCTCCCGATCACCGATCATTTGAATAATTGTTGCTTTCACGAACAGAAAGTTGCCAACAGCATACATGTATTTCCAACTTGTTTTTGTGTATTTGCATATTATTTGTGGAATTATACTCTCCCCTTTGTGACTTGTGAAGAATTTTGCATGGGGTACGGTAATTGGCAGAGGGATCATAATGGATTGTGAGCTCCCCTCCGGCTGCAGGTTGGCCATTGGTCCCTGGGGTGGGGTGAGGAGTGATTATCCCATGGGACATTCAGCCAGTTGCTCAAACATCTGGAATACAGGACCACTTTCCCCATTTGTTTATCTCAGAAAAAGCAGAATTCCTCCCTTGTGACCCATTCCGAATAGCCCAGCTCCCTCCCACCCCTACAATGGCCAACAAAACCTGATGGGATGAGATAAAATATTTATCCACCGCCCACCACCAATGACAGGACTCCCTCAGTACCACAGGCTTCAGACTACACAAGTTCCATAGTAACCAGTCCTTCCAACTCTTTTATACTGCCAACTGGGGTGACGGTTGTTGTCAAGGGGCTAGCATTCTTTAAGGGCCCAGAAACAATAAGTCGTTAATTCAAGGAAATTCAACAAATTAAGTCAAGTTTCGTTCATGTATTCATCATGTGCTCTAGCATAACCATGGACACCACCAACTCCATCTCCAGGAAGACCAGGCTGTAGATGTGGGTCAGGGTCAGCAGTCAATCAGCTTGGATTCCATGTGGTCTGGTCTTCTGGAATGGAGGCCTTACCCTTCTCTGTCACCTTCATTCTGACACCAAGTAGCCAAAGATCAGGAGCGAGGGAATGAAAGGCAGCTAGACACCAGGTCCAGGGACTGGGAGCGGGGCCTCAGCAGTGACCTCTATCCCTGCCCAACCACAACAGTCCTGCCAATACCACCAGAGTCTGGGATCCAGGTCCTTGGGCCCTGATGTACACCCTACCTTGGGCCCAGGCCAACACTGCAGCTGCCTTGCATGCTACACAAAGGAAAATATAGACTGACTCTGGCAGCAACCAGTTTGTGCAGTCCATGAATCAGGTTGAAAAACCAACTGGATGGAACTGCTTCGTGCAATACTGTTCACGTACTGTTAATCGCTGTATGGTAGCTGCCTTTGTTCATTGTAGTGTTGTCCCAAAATGGCACAGCTCCTGTTTATAATTGAAAGCATCTCGACAAATGAACTGTACCTTAAGGTCAATAAGTCACTGCAAAACCTCAGGTGCAAAAGCATTTTGTGTTTCTGCTGATGAGGAAATAGCTCAACATCATCGGCAGAAACATAATCTTTAATTGTATCCAGTGACATTTGAATGGGTTGTTTGTGACAAGAGTGTTCCAGATCAGTGTGGCTTCTGTATTGATCAGACACCATGCAGCAGATAGAGAGAGAAAGAGAGGTATTGTAACACAATCGATTGTTGTGTCAACATTTACCTTTTTTACTTCTAACATTAAATAGATTTTAAAAAGACATGAAAGTGCCTGAAGATAGTGGGTTTAATTATTCACAAAGTACTTTCAGGAAAATTTAAAATTCCGGGGCAAGATTTTAGATTTTGGTTGGGGACACTGCTCGCAAGGTGATGTTGGGAACAGTCACACAGCAGCGATTTTTTTTCCCAGAACCAGTGATCGGAGGGAAGGGGGCCATCAATAATCAATTGGACAATCGGTTCTCAAAGATGGAGGCCCAATAGCAGGACTTCAGCCTGGTGAAATAACTCCATGAAGGCTGGTATCCCATCACCAAGTCACCCTTTATTTACATGGGCATAGCACTTGACACTGGTCTGGCTTCCTCAGAGGCAGCTCTGAGTGAACAGAACCTTTGATGTTCCATTTTTATCTATCAGCTCCCCAATTTAGGCCAAGTTAACAGCCCTAGTCAGGGAACACCTATTCTTTGAGATCCACCTAGCTGACCTCATTACAATCACTACAGAAGGAACAACAGGATCCTTTGCAGTTGGAGAGTGAGGGCATCCCTCCCTGCTGCAGGCTTGTCTGTAGCTACTGCAGAGAGTGGAGAGGACCTTAGAGAATGCCTGGCCCATGGCCAGCTGCTGAGAGAGGACTGTGTAGAGGACATACCACAATCACCTCCTCCTTTGGTTTCCTCACACCAATAACCTGAGCTTCGAGGCGCTGTGGGTTCGGTGTAATTGAAGTTGAGGTTTCTTTTGCATTTGCTCACAGGATGTTTGGCGTTGCTGACTGGGCCAGCATTTATTGCCCATCCCTAGTTGCCTGGAGAAGGTGGTGATGTGCAATTCCCTTTTAAAAGTATCTGTCTTTGCCTTGCAGCATCGATTCCTACTGTCCTTCAGTCTCTCCCAAAGCCTCCACACTCACCCTAAACTATCATCTCACCCACTCACAACCTTCCTGATCTCCATCCCCAATATCCTTCCATTGATAAACTAGAGCATCTCTGACATTTCCAGTTCTGTTCCCCATCTCCTGTACAATAGCAGGCTGCTGCATTGAAGCTTTTGTAGTGGTTTATATGTCAGTGCTTTCTGCAAATGTTCATAAATTCACAGAAGTTTTAGGTCCATCCTATTTATTTGATAATTTTCTGATGCCTATTGTGTTGCTGAATAGAACAGAGTTTAACAAAAGCTCCAAAGAGTGTGGAGATGGGCACGAATCCAAATAAGTACCACACACAGAGGAATGATTTGAAAGTCGAATGGGGTTTTGCAAATGTAGTGACGCTTTTTACAGGACAAAGGCAAAATATGCAAATATATCTTGATAAAATAAAAAAAACCTGCTTCTGTTCAGCTGTTTGACAACAGTGTGATCACTTTTTACAGGGTCACTGCTTTGGGAGGATGGGAGAATCTCAGAGGTTAATGAGTTGCTCCCAAAAGTCACGGTCTAGCTCCGACGTCTTGTCGGCAGGAATGCTAAAGGAAATGGCCCTCCGGTGGTTCACGGAGACCCAGGCTGCTCTCATCCTGCAGAACGGCAGGTTACCCGAATGGTTCCACGGTTTTGTGACCAGGAAGTAAGTTCTACGGACTCGGTCAGTCACACAGTAGACAGTGCGTAAGAGTCAAAGCTGAACCAAATGTGCAAAATGTTATAAAAGCTGCTTTTCACCATAGCTCCATTATTGTTACAAATTGCTAATTGCTTCCTTAAACTGGAACTGTAATCTATCAATTACACTATCAGTCCAGGGGCTGTAATCCTCTGATTACACTGTTATCCCAGGGACTATAATCCATCAATTGCACTGTTGTTCTATGGACTGTAGTGTTGTGACTACACTGATGTTCCAGGGACTGTAATATTCCGATTACACTGATGTACTGGGGTTGCAAAAAGGGTGACAACCCCTTTCCTACTCTTTGGGGTCTGAGATCATCCATATATAACAGCACAAACTATGTTTTTGTCTGTCTGCGCAGACTGAGGAGGGTCAAGTTTGGAGGATAATGAGATATTTTATTCAATAATTATTCAATAAATGTCATATAGAACCCAGATTTCCCACAGCAGAAGGAGTTCCCAGACTGTGCTCCCCCCAGGTCATGTACTCTCCAGTCTGTCTCCATTCCCACTCCGCCAGGCCATATACCCTCCCGTCATCATGCCCTCCCCCCCACCCCCAGGCTGTGCCCCCAGGATTGTGTTTCTCCCCATCCCCGTCCACCTCACCAGGCCGTGCTCCAGCAGGGCCTCGGTAAACTGGACAGCAGGTAAGTGATTATAATGTCAGAGGCCCGGGTCTGCACTGGGCGCAGTCCCCTCTGCCCTATCAAGTGTCTGTCCTCCGATGTCTTCCCTCAGCTGTCCTATATAACAGAACAGTGGTTGAGGTGGGGCTGGGGGAATGGGGGTTTTGTGCTCTGTGTAACACTCTGCACTGCAGTGTATTCCGGCCACAGCTAATGACACAAGTCTGTTTGGGGCCTGGTTCTCGCTGTCCTAATAGATAACTCTGTGTGTATGTGTGTGCCAACAGAGAAGCTGAGAGCGTCCTGAAGGATCGAGATATTGGTCACTTCCTCATCCGGCTGAGCGACCGAGCATTTGGCTACATATTGTCTTACAAGTACGTACTTTGAGATTTGATGAGGGAAGACAATAAACAAGATTCAGGGTTGCATTTAGAACATTTTTTTTTTCTCAGACCTGTGAAGGCACAACCCTCGGTGGATTCTATCTGGTCCAGAAGAAATTGTCTGCATTTATGTGGCACCTTCCATAACCTTAGGATGTTTCAAGTGAAGGCATTTGAAATGGAGTGACCACTGTAATGTGGGAAGCAGTAGCCAATTTCATCACAGCAGGATCTCACAAGCAGTGGGCCCTTCATCTGAGTGCCACAGCCTGCCATTGCAAAGGGCAATTAAGAGTTGCCACATCGCTGTAGGTCTGGAGTCACATGTAAGGCTGGATAAGGACAGCCAATTACCTTCCCTAAAGTGAACCAGATGGGTGTTTGGCAATGGTCATGGACACTATTATAGAAGGTCAAAGTTTATGAAATTAATGCAAATACCCCAGCTGCTTTTGTGGGTTTTGAACTCATGTCTCCAGAGCATTACCTCTAGGTGATCAGCTCAGTGACATTACTAGAATGAGAAAACTGAAAGAACTGCAGATGCTATAAATCAGAAACAAAAACAGAAATTGCTGGAAAAGCTCAGCAGGTCCGGCAGCATCTGTGGAGAGAAAGCATAGTTAATGTTTCGGGTCCAGTGACAAACCACGCCCCCCCACCACCACCACCAAGTCTCTGTCCCCTGAGTTCCGAAGAAGGGTCATTCGATCTGAAACATTAACTCTGATTTCATTCCACAGATGCTGCCAGACCTGCTGGGTTTCTCCAGCAATTTCTGATTTTGTTTGTGACATTATTAGAGCTGTGTTTGTCAGAGACTGTTCCTGCAGGAGAAATGATGATAATTTGGTTTTGTAGCACAGGCTGTGGGTATTTGCTGGTGTGAATAGAATCTATGGATCTAACCTTCTGATTGGTTTATCTCCAGGGGTAGTGATCGCTGTCGACACTTTGTGATCCAGCAGCTGAAGAACGGCAGATACATGATTGATGGTAGCACTCACACTCACAGGAGTCTTGCAGCCTTGATCAACTACTACACAACTGAGGTTATCCAGCCCTTTGGAGAGGTCCTCACTCAGTCCTGCAGTCAGGTAAGCGACTGTCACTTTGCAGATATACCACATGGCCTCCTTCTTCCTTTCGATCTGTTTTCTGAAGTAGCAGCTCTCTCATTTATTCTGTACATAGTCATATTGAGAGGCATCTCTCATTTGTATTGATTTGAGAGCAATCTGAGCCAACTGAGGTGCAAAGTGAATCAAGGACACTGGAGCATTTGCTCTTTATTTGAGATTCAGAGTGGCCACCACAGAGGATGGCCAGACTGTTCTAACCTTCCAATATAATTAGGTACTATATGCCCATACGTATGTGCCCAGAGAGTCCAATCACTCACAATACAGGTAGTATAGCTAGAAGTTCCCGTTTTTAGAAGTGCAATTATTTCCAATGTGTCAGTCTCACAGGATATCATGGCCTCGCTGTAGAGTAATAACAGGGTGATCTTACTCAGTGTTTACTCAATTGATTATTAACTGCTGATAAGCTGATTATTAAACCTTCACTGCCCAAAAAGCATGGCCACTAACTTGGTGATTGCCTACTTGATGCAGACAGATGGGTCTCCGCCTCATATTACAGACCCTGTCGGTTAAAACCCACTACGAACAAGAATTCCTGAAATTCAGCAGCACAACTTGAACAGTATTAGCTCAGCAGGTCTGGCAGCATCTGTGAAGAAAAAATATCAGAGTTAATGTTTCAGGTCTGGTGACCCTTCCTTAGAACAGGGTCACTGGACCCAAAACATTAATTCTGATTTTTTTTCTTCACAGATGCTGCCAGACGTGCTGAGCTTTTCCTGCAACTTCTGTTTTTGTTCCTGATTTACAGCATCCGCAGTTCTTTTGGTTTTTATTTGAATACTATTAGTGAGAGCCTGTCAGTGACAGAAGGCGGTAACAGGGCAATGGCACACAGAGGCTCATTTTCAGGAAGTATTTTTGCCTTTCCCTGTACTCCATGTGATTGCCAACCCTGTGAGTGTGACCGAGTATAAAGTGGGAAATTGTGAAATTGTCCATTTTAGCAGGATGGACAGAGCAGAAGCCTATTATCTAACTGGTGAGAGGCTGCAGAGCTGTGAGATGCAGAGAGATCTGGGTGTCCTAGTACATGAATCATAGAAGATTAGTATGCAAATACAACAAGCAAATTAGGAAAGCTAATAGAATGTTATGTTTTATTGTGAGGGAAGAAATGCATTGAAAACAGTTCAGAGAAGGTTTACTAGACTGAATACCTGGAATGAGGGGCTTGTCTTATGAGGAGCAGTTGGGCAGACTGGGCTTGTATTCGCTGGACTTCAGTAGAATAAGAGCATACAAGGGGTCTTGACAGTGTGGATGTGGAGAGGATGTTTCCTCTTATGGGGGAGTCCAGAAGAAGGAGATACACTTTAAAAATAAGGGGTCACTCATTTAAAACATAATTTGTTTTGTTTCTCTTGGAGAGTTGGTCTTTAGGACTCTCTCTCTGAAAATGTGATGGAATCAGAGTCCTTGATTTTTTTATTATTTATTCATGGGATAAGCGTGTCGCTGGTCAGCCCAGGATTTATTGTCCAGAGGGCAGTTAAGAATCAAACATATTGCTGTGGTCCAGACCAGGTAATGATTACAGTTTCCTTCCCTAAAGGACATTAATGAACGAGATGGGTTTTTCCAACAGTTGACAATGGATCCATGGTCATCATTACACACATAATTCCAGAGATTTATTGAATCTGCTATGGCAGGATTTGATCCTGAGTCCCCAGAACATTACTTGGGTTTCTGGATTAACAGTCCAGCTAAAATACCATTAGGCCATCACCTCCCCCTAATCTATTTTTAAGATCAAGATGAAGAGATTCTTGATAAGCACGGTGGGGGAAGAGGTGATGTAACAGGTTACCAAAAGTAGGCAGGAATGTGGATTTGAAGTTAAAACAAGATCAGCCATGATCTTATCAAGTAGCAGAGTAGACTGAGTGGTTTGTAACCACATGTTTGTATGCATGCAAGTGTCTTAAAGATCAAATAATGGTTCCAGTCCCATCCTTCTAGGTGTACCTACAGACTATTGTTTGATTGGGTCTTCATCCCATTATAAATGTACTGGTTTGTTAAATGAGTAACTTTACGTAGTGCCAGTCTCCTGTTTTCACCCCATACCCTTGCATGTTATTTTTATCTAATAATTGTAAATGCCTGTCCCTTTTGCCTGTCACCTGCACACATCAGGGCTCGGTCTAGGTACTACAATGAAAAGTTGGTGGCCAAGTGATTTGTACAACATGGCAGCTTTTCAACATGTTGCTGTTTGTACCAGAAGCTAGACAGCCAATTAAAATGTAATTTCATAAAATTACTGGGGCCTTTAAACAGCCTACTATACAAATTTGTGGCCAGATTTGGACTTTTCCGTTGGGATCATAATACCAGGGTCAAATCAGGGCCATAGCACTGGGCCATGAAGGGAACAGTCACTTCATTGGCAGTGATTTTTCCCAGAATTGGCCAATGAGTGGTCAGAGATTGGCTTAGCCGATTTGTTAATAATGTTGGTTCGGTTGTCAAAGCTGGAGATCTAGAAGCAGACCCACCAATGCAGCGGGTAGCTGGTTCCAGGTGACAGAGAGGGAAGTAAGCCATCTTGAGGCACTCTATCTCTGCCTTCTAGATTGAAAATATATCTTTGGCAGGAACTTTCTATGTTGAGAGTGGTTTGATTGTGGGACTTGTTTATATGAACAGCAGTTGAGGTGAATGTAAATGGCAAACCGGATAAATGTGAGGGAGAAAGAAATTGAGGGATATGTTGTTCAGATGGAAGGACATTTGTGAAGAATGGAAAAAGCAGCACACAGCAGTTGGGCCCAATGGCCTGTATGTGTTGCATAAACTCAATTTAACACACCACATTTTGGTTTACAGGATGACAGGAACAATCTGTACGACCAGGTCAATTCACCTACTAAGTCCAACTACGAGGAGACAGAAAGGGAACCAGTGTCCAGACAGCCACATTTTCTCAGCCACTCCCAATCTGAGGAGGTGTCACAGAGACCTCCAGCTGTCCCTCCGAAGGCCAACAGGATCCTCAATACCAGGAGGCTGACCTCATCTCTAGAAAGCATGTCCTCCAACAGTGAGGTGAGTGTCTCATTACAGTTACCTCCATGTGAGCTATACAGCCATTGCAACAACTACTTTCATTTACGTAACATCCTTATTATTGCAAAACACCTCACGAAGCTTTGTTTAAGTGAAATTAATCAAAATATATTCACATATGTTATAGGGAGGGTTTACCGGGCTATTACTAGAATAGGTGGGTTGTCTTAAGAGGAAAGGTTGAACACGTTGGGATTGTATCAACTGGTGTTTAGAGGAGTAAGAGGCAACTTGATTGAATGTGCACAATCCTGAGTGGTCTTGACCAGGTGGATGTGGAAAGGATATTTACTCTTGTAGGGAGAATCTACAATTAAGGATCAACGTTGAAAAATTAGGGGTCACCCATTTAAAACAGAGAAGAGGTGAATTTTTTTTCTCTCAGGGGGTCGTGAGTCTCTGGAACTCTCTTCCTCAAAAGATGGTGGAAGCAGAGTCTCAATATCTTTATGGCAGAGGTGGATAACTCTTCGCCACCCCTTTGTTTAATAAGAATTTATCAGGGGTAGGTAAGAATGTGGATTTGAGGTTACAATCAGATCAGCTTGATGTTGTTGAAGGACAGAGCAAGCTCGAGGGGCACAATGGCCTAATTCTGCGCATGATTTTTACATTTGTGTAGCGGAAAAGCGGTGAAGTGGAGAGGCTAAGGGAGGGAATCCCCACAAACGTTTCGGAGGCAGAGAGCTGAAGGTACAGTCGTCAGTAGTGGAACAGTTCAGACGGGGGGTGCAGGAGAGAAGAGCAAAGATCATGGAGGTAGCCTGTGGGCCTGGAGAAGATCATGGAGACAGCCACAATGGAGCCAGCGAAGGATTGGAAAATGATGGGAACATTAAAATCAAGACACTGACTGGGAGCCAGTGTTGCTCAGCGAACACAGGAGTGAGTCAGGGAGTGGAACTTTCTGGGAGTTTTAAGACGTGGCAGAGTTACAGGATGGAAGGCTTAGCTTCAGATAAATCCACTCCCACCACTCTGAATAGCTGAGGTAAAGAGGTTATTGTCAGGCCAAATACAGCATCTGATTGTATGCTGCTGTGGAGTGGTCAAAGCTTCCTCCCCGCCATTGGCACTGCCAAAACAATCTTTACCTGCATCAACTGGGGGCGATTGTGAGCAATAACAAGAATCTCCTCATGGGATCTGGGGACTTGGCTGTGAGGAGTCAGAGTGGGGGAGGGATGTTCATGAGAGGTGTAGGAAGTGTCCGGTGGTCTGGCTGCGGTCATTCACCTGGTGAAGCTCAATGGATTAGCCTCTGCCTGTCAACTGAGTCTGTTCAAATGATTCAGGGACCCTATTGATCAACTTGAACATGTTATCGCAATCCCTGGAATTTTGCTGAAATGAGGCTGGAAAAATACACAGACCAAGATTTTACAAGCTAGAAGCACATGCAACTCAAGACGTTTATGGTTAACTGATGTAGATTACTGATGTTTCACAGCAGATATTATTTCCGGTTTTCACCAAGCTCTTCTATAAGACTATCACTGTCTTTCAGCAACTGTCCGGGGAACTTTCTCAACCAGTTTAATGTGATTATGTCCATGCGTAGTCAGATTTCTAAATGTGACTTAGCAACAGAGACATTAACAGACAGACTTCTACCTGAAGCTCTCCCAGTCTGTACTATACATTACCTGTGAAGGCAGAAGAGACATAGAGTCCCACAGCACAGAGACAGGCCCTTTGGCTCAAACTGGTCCATGCCGACCAAAATGTCCATCCACGCTAAGCCCATTTCCCTGCACTTGGCCCATATCCTTCTAAACCCTTCCTATCTATGTATTTGTCCAAATGCCTTTTAAATGTTGTTAATGTACCAGCCTCAACCACTTCCGTTGGCAGCTCATTCCATATGTATCCCATATGGAATGGGGACTCAGTTTAGTATCTTAGCCAAAAGCAGCTGCATTGGCAGTGCAGCACTCCCTCAGCACTGCACTATGAGCACCAGTCTGGATCCTGAGCTCAAATCCTGATCTCAGGTCAGGTCAGTGCCTTGTGACTTTTAAGTTTCACTCCAGGGATTTGAGCTCAGGACCTAGACTGATGTTCCCAGATCAGCTAAAGATATCATGGATGCCTTGATCAACATTTATCTTTCAATTAACATCATAGAAACAAGTGGCATTCTTATCATCAATATAGCCCATTTGTGTGAAACTTGCTGTGTGTAAATTGGCTGTTGTGTTTCCTACATTATGCCTTCTGTGCTTTGGGACATGTCAAGTTGTGGAAAGGAACTACAGAAACTATGTAGGTAGTATGGTCTGTCTTCAGAAATATCAAATGTTCTTGAAAAATGATTTCCAGTTGACCTGATGAAAATGTTGATTTGTGTTGAAGGACTTTGACGTAGCCCCACCTCTGCCGCTCAGGACAAGCCTGGTTTTCGAGCAGGACAATCAGGATGGAACAACATACGGGCGATTTAATAAACTGAAATACAAGGAGCAGCAGGCACTCCTGGTATTGGGCGACAAGAGCACAAACAAGGAAAGCTTGGCAAATCCACTCTACAGTATGGGAATGGATATCCGAAAGCCCCAGCCTTCAAGGAGGCAGTCACCAATGAGCAGTGTTATATATTCCCTGGCTGTGGAGCCCCAGCCGATATATAATGAGGCATTTGAGCCACCAGGAGTGAATCCATCAACAGATGTGGTGTACGCTGAAGTGGACGTGGAGCAGTGGAAAACTGGAGTCGTGCCCGCTGCGAGTGGTAACAATTATGCCACCATTGTTGCACCGACTGAACACTCAAGCCAGGCCTCCGATGCCAAACAGTCGAGTTTGGCCACTCCACCTTTGACTCCTCCTCGATTGTCGCCCAATTTGAATCAGAGATTGAAATCTACATCGCCCACTCGCTCTCCACAGAAACACAAAGCCAGTCAGAAGCTCCTGACGAACCTTTGGCCCCTCTCTCATTCAGCTGAGCATGCTCAGGCAAAAGATCAATTGTATGAGGATACCCTGGACAAGAAAAACTCCACAAACTGTCCGGAGAACACGTACGAACAGATTCCCGAGGAATTCTCCAGACGAGGCCAAGCGAAGCCAGTGACTGCAGAGAAGGTAAAGGTTATCTGCTGTATTCCTGACCCTTCACCCCTGCCTTTTCCACTCACACAATTCCAGTGGCACCATGGGGACAAGTGGGAGTAGTAGTAGAAAAGGCAGTTTACAAATAACCAAGATTCACTCTTGTCTCCGGGGAGCCTTTCATTGATAACTCCGTGAATTTCTACCTAGTGTTGAAACCCAGGGCTCAGACTGCTGCAGCTTATGAATAGGAAATGTCCTGGAGTTCCCACATGGAACAGGTTGTACGCTCCAGGGGTTGGAGGAGATGCCCTGCCCTTCCTCTATCGAGTAGATCGTAAAACTTACTACATAAAAAAAGACTACTCACTTCTATTGTTGCTTATATAGGGAGGTTAATTATAATACTTCAATAAATTCTGATTGAAAAACAAATAGAATTTTTATTTCCCAGCTCCTTAGAAAGTTAGCCTAACTTAGGAAATTAAACTACTGTCAAAATTATGTCCCATGAATGAAGTGAAAATAATGAATATTAAATTCAACTTATGTTGTAAATTAATTTAGTGGCCCTGCTCTCCCAGTGTAGAGAGGTACTTCAAGACAGTACAGTTTAAGAAAGCTGTGATTTGTATTGTTCCAAATCTTTCACCTGACATCTTCATAGAAAGTAGTATAAGTAGCCTTGTATCTAAACATGCCTGCTGGGAATGTTTCTCAAGAAATAGAGACTGGCTTGTCCATGTAGTCAAGCAGGGAAGTGAAACTAGTGCAGATAGTAGTGTATTTTTGGCAGTACATACTCGATGGGCTGAAACGTCTCGTCTTTTCTGTATGATTCTGTAATTCTCGGTGAAATAGTTCCAATTGAATGAATTCTTGAATTCCTCTTAACGTAGTTTTCTCTCATTGCCCACACACTAGGGAGCTTGAATCGATGAACCTGTGATCATTGAACAGATTGCTGAGCGAGGATGAGAGATCACACTATCTACTCACTCCCAATCCTTGCCTTGCCCAATCCTGTTGCGCACACCTGGATAACTAATTCCTTGTGGTTGCTTACAGTGATAGAGATGTTTTATCTTGTGTACACAGCTGCAATTTTCTTCTTTTATGGCAGAAGTATAAAGCCTACGATTCAACCCTATTTTATGTTATGCATTTACCAAACCCTCACCCCAACCTGAGCTGATTCACCCCCCAATTGACGTATTTGCCATTACGCCTGAGCACGGCCTTTGACCCCGAAATGCCCCCTATCCAATGGCTGTCGGCTTCCTCCAATCACACCCTATAAGTTTCAAATACAATGAAGACATTTAATGATGTGGAAAGGCTCGACAGGCTGTTTTCTTTGGAATAGAGGAGGTTGAGGGGAGATTCAATTGGTGTGTAAGAGTATGAGTCGCCCAGGTGGAGTAGAGGGAAAGGATCCAATTCCCACAGGGAGATCGATAAAGGGGAAATGTCAGACATAAAAGAGTAAAGGGGAGTTGGGGCTAATTTTTATTCACCCAGAGGCTGTGGGAAGGGGCAAGGGGAGCTGGTCTGGAGCTTACTGCCTGTAAAGTTGGCTAAAGCAGAAACTCTCATCACATTTGGGTACAGACTGGAAATGCTATAACTGAGAGAGTGACATACTAAGAACTGGAAACTGGGATTAGGTCAGATTAGGGTAAGGATTAGGGTGTGTTGGTTGACAGAGCCATAATGGGCCAAATGACTTCCTCCTGTTTTGTAAATACATTTGTGTGTGAACATGAAGGAGGGATATCTTGTGCTCTGGGCCACCATCAGCTATTTTTAACCCACATTTATATGATACTACATTTTAATTCAGTTCTGTATAAATGGGCTTCCCCGTATTTGAACAACTGCAACAGAATAATATCCACCTTCTCACAGTGAGACAATACTCTCACTGGATATTAGAACTGAGCTTTGCTTCCTGTTAGGATGCAAGTTTGTATTTGTACATTTGTAAGACTCAGGAAGAGTTTGCTTGTTGTAAATGAGATCAGTGTTGTAATGATCCACAAAAAACAGCCTCTGACAACAGCAGCAAACTGGACCAACCAGCAGGCCATTCCTAGAAACTAACGCTTGTTCCGAGTTTAATGGGATAAGGGAGCGGGTAATCTCCGTATGAGAGTGGCACTGAGTGCTGGAACAGAGCAGGGCCATGCCCCACTGAAATGACCATTCTCACCAAGTGTATTGGTCCTGGTGATCCTATCATATCACCATAGAATCCCTACAGTGTGGAAACAGGCCCTTCGGCCCAACAAGTCCACGCCGACCCTCAGAGCAGGCCCCAGACCCATCCCCCTAACCTACACATCCCTAAACACTTTGGGCAATTTTACATGGCCAATCCACCAAACCTGCACATCTTTGGACTGTGGGAGGAAACCCACGCAGACACAGGGAGAATGTGCAAACTCCACACAGTCAGTCAGCCGATGGTGGAATCGATCCTGTGTGTTAAAATGGATTGGAGTACTGGAGAAACTAACTGGACCAAACGCAAGGCTTTAAACCCTAGTGCCAGCAGATAAGGCGAAGGAATCCGATGCAATGAGTTGTTCATCTCAGTCAACTCTGGATTGAAATCAGTCAGGACCAAACCCCTCCAAATGGAGGGTCTGCTGCTTCTCAATGATTGGATGCTGGAAAAGTAGGAAAGTTGGCATCATAAAGTGCTGACAAGCTGCCAGTGGATTTGTCCTGGCATGGGTTAGGTGGTTTACAGGTTTTGGGCATGTGGGGATTAACTGATGAGCCTGTAACAACCTGGGGATTGTACCCACCTGTCACAATACTGGGAAATACTGGGCATCCATACCCATTATTTTCCCTTCATGGCCTTGTCCATCTGCCCTCTAACTTCCTCCAACATTAGGTTTCCCCCCACCCCACCACCTTGACTGCGCCAGCCATCATCTTCAATGCCATTTCTCTTCAGTGCATTCCTCCAATAGCTCCCTCGGTCATCCTTGCTGAACTCCCTCCCTAACCCCCTTCAGTAACCCCCTATTTTCTCTGAATTTCAAAGCCATTTTGAACCAGCTCTGCGCCACCTTGTCCTTAGTTACTGTCCGCTATATTTGGAGCCTCATTCCCTCCCTCCCAACCCTCTCTCAAGGACCAGAGTGTTCTTCATATTTTACGGGTGCTATATAAATGTGATTTTTTTGAATCTTTACACTAAATAGTTTAACCCAAAATTCCCTGCTTTTGTTTTCCCAGGAGGAAGTTCGTAAGAAATGGTTCTCCGATTGGAAATACAAGTGAAGAAAGAAACTGATTGGTCCCCATCTGATGAAAGTGGTGCTCAGCACTCCTCGTCCATCATCGTTTTAATTCTCTGGATCCCACCATCTACCCTCTTAACATACAACACTACGTTGAAAATGGGCCCAGCGATTTGCTATATTCCAAGAAAGACACTGACCCTAGTTCCTGGTATATTTTTTCACACAAGCAACACTTGGTGCTAATGTTTCACATCTTCGTAGGTATCACAATAAACTGTCATTAACTTCAATAGATGGAACAGGTTAATGCTCATCCATGTATATGATAATAGAGCTCCTGTGAATTAAGCTGATACTGTGTTTGTTAATATTTATGTCACGGTTATGAGTACATTTTGATTTTGTGAGATACTTTAATTATGTGACAGAATTGATGTCTCTCCAACTGAATTCAAAATGGACAAGTGGAAAACAAACTTCAAACTTGCGAGCTGTTATCTTGCTATTTGTCAGTACATTATCTCCCAATTCAGTGTATGTCGAATCTCTGCCGGTTGTTTTAGAATGATTTCCATTAAGTCTCTTTTTACTTTTCTCTGATCTTCACTGATTCTTCGTTATTTGCAATGCAAAAGGTTTCTGTGGATGTTTATAAGAATATCAAGTGAGAGTGATCCGAGGAATGGGTTCACCCAGCAGAAGTGACCTGGGGCGTGAGTGCACCCCATTAGATGACTTTCACTTTTTGCTACTTTGCCGTGACACTGCAGAGATTGGAAACTCAGTGGGAGTTCACTATGTCCGATTCCATTTTGTGAGACTGTGAACTTTTGCAGCAGTACTTCATCTTTAAATATCAGTTTGTGAAACCTTGCTGATTAGCCCACTGATCAATTTATCCGCATGAGAAACAGGAAGAATGATTTTGCTGAAGATTAGAATCACTTCTAATCTGTTTGAATTTTTTTTTTGTTTCCATATCTATCTTTGCAATTTCTAACTGATGCGGTCAGTTTTATGAGCAAATTCTTGGTTTAACTCTGAGGGATGGAAACTGTTGAGGAATAGCTCAGTGACAGCATTGCTTATCCACAGGCTTCCAGTTACACAGCTCCAGATGTTGGGGAAGGATTGGTTTCACTGCAGCAAATATTTATTTGTTTTTGGGATGTTGCATTTTATTGTTCATCATTGTACTGAGAGAAGACACTAGTGGGACTCTACTTGTTGGAATGCTGCAGCTCGTGTATTGCTGCTGCTGTTCTGATGGTGCTTAACAGGGAAAACCAGTGTATTATGTCCAATTCTGGACAGTGTGAGACTTGGAAGGACATTCCAAGCTAAGAATGCTCCCACGACATTGCTGACCTTGTGTTCCTCAATGATGTTGTAATACGACAACACTCACATTTGACTTTGCAATGGGATAAATGATTGCTGGGAGGACCAAATCGATTCAGAATCCTTCTATTTTATTTCACAAGGAGAAGTGTAGCAACAGAGGAGGCTATTCAGCCCCATTGGTTCCATCCCCCCCACTCATGGCAGATCTCTATCTTAACTCCATTTACTCACAATGCTTCAATAACATTAACCCTGCAAAAAAAAATGACTGGTGTCAATTTTGAAATTTCCACTCAGCCTTCTGCACTCCCCACATCCCTCCCTCTCTCCATTTTTGGCCTCATCAACATTTTAGGGGAGAGACAGTTCCTGGTTTCCACTCCCCTTTGTATAAACAAGTGTGTTTTGACATTGCCCCTGAGTAATCTAATTTTAAAGTTGTGCTCCTTTCATTCTGGGGTCTCCCACCATCTGTCTATTAACCCTATCAGATCTCTAAACCACTGAAACACCTCCAATTGGATCACCCCTTAATCATCCATACTTGAGGAATCCCAATAATCTACATAATCTAACTGTTTCAGCTCCTGGTCCATTCTTGAAATCCATCCTCCTATGTTTAGCAGGAGGATGAGGTTTCAAACATGAGCAATATGTTCAACTGAGAAACACCCCCGCAAAAGTTGGCCAACACTAGCAATGGAGCTCTCTTAAAACAGAACCTATGTATAATCCAGTAACTTTAAACTAGAGAAAAGATGACATTTGTAAGAAATGTTTAGAACAGTTGAAATAAGCCTGAGACTCTGCAGTTTTCTGATGCTGTATTTTTTTGTATGTTTTACTTTTTTTTAAAACAGCATTATTGGACTATTGATAATGGGCCCAGACCCCTGTTACAATCCATCACTCAACAACTTTTCTTATTTTTAAATTATTATGACTTTAAGACACTTATATAAATTTTCTGGTTGTTTGCTACAATAAAGTTATAAATGATTATACCTTCTGCTTGTTCAGGATTTTCAATATTTCCATCAATAGGTTTGTGAATAAAACGTGAAATAGCTTCCTGCAAACAGGTCAAGGATGGAAATGGTTCCAGCGGGTTTTATTTGGTTAGGTTCCGCAATTTCCCCTCTGGCCTGAGGACATAGTCCAAGCGGTCAATTTGCGAATGTCAAGCAAAGGATGGAGTGCAAGAGTCAGTGTAAGGCTAGATATAATCATAGCAAGGGTTGGTGTGAGGGTCAGGGTCAGCAAGATGAAGGTAAAAGTTCAGGACAAAGTTCAATAGATATGATGAATGGTGGAATGCCGGTTGTGGTGAGGATAAAGGTGGGGGTTGGTGACCGGGCAAACGTCAGGCTGAGGGTCAGGGATCAGAACAACGGCTTGAGTGAGAGCCAGGTGTTGGGAAGAGGAGTAGAGCAAGGTTTATAAACTAAAGTCTGATTCTGAGAATGTACACCGTTTGAGATGGTCTTATGGGATAATGCCAATTGATGTGTAGTCAGTTGGTTAATCCAGTTTACCTTTGTCGTCAAAAACCCACAGCTGCAGTTTGTAGAAAACTGAACTGGCATAGCTGATTGACTCTTGGATCCTCTCATTGGCCTTTTGAGAGAGTTGGCTCCCAGGGTATGGGAAACGCTCAACATTTACATTGAGGAGAGGCTCTGGAATATGGGAGGTGGAATATTAACTGGCCAAGTCTGGGTTGATGTGAGTTTTGTTCTGGCAATATTCAAGGATAGGATAAGTCTCTTGTATGCAAAATTCAAGAGAACAAGAGTGGGTTGTAAATCTGGTGCAGAGTAGGTAATGACACTGCAGTCTTCAGAATGTTGTAGGTCATCTATGTCTATGGTAATCAGTTTAGTTGCTCCACAGAAGCAACTGAGTTCAATGACTGTAATAGTCTATTATTTCAATGCACAGTGATTGCAGAATACTGGAGTACAGAGGGATCTGGGTGCCTTTGTACATAAATCACAAATTGTCAGTGTACAGAGACAGCATGTGTGGCTTTTATTGCAAGGGAGATGGAGAAGAAAGGAGGAATATCTTGTTACAACTGTATAGGATATTGGTGAGACCACATTTAGTGTACAGTGCACAGTATAGATCTCCTTATTTAAGGAGAGGTTTACTGGCATTGGAGGCAGTTTAGAGAAAGCTGATTACTTGGATGAAGAGGTTGTCTTCTGAGGAAATATTAAGCAGGTTAGGCTTATACACATTGGAGTTTAGATGAATGAGAGTTGATCTTTTCGAGACTGAAAGTTGAGATATCTTGACAGAATAGATGCAGAGAGGATGTTTCCCATTCTGGGGCAATCTAAAATTGGGGGACACTAGGTCATAGATCTTCCATTTAAGACAGATGAGGACGAATTTAGTCGTTTATGATTGGAATTCTCTTCTTCAGAAAGCAGTGGAGGCTGAATCCTTGAAAATATTCAATGCTAAGTTTGGACAGATATTTAATACACACAAGGCCATGGAGGCGTCAGTCGGGAAAGTGAAGATAAAACCACAATCAAATCAATTGTGACCTCATTGAATGACAGAATGAGCTCAAGGAGCTGAATGGCCTACTCCTGTTCCTAATTCTTGTGGCCTTAAAGCTGTCAAAAAAAGAGCTAAGAGGGGAGTTCTATGTCTCCAATTCTGTGACTTGAATTCAAATCCACAAACCTGCAGGTCATCCCCTAATCATCCATGAAAAGAGCTTTGAAAAATTCTCCCTCTTCCTTTGCCAATGTGACACCTTTAACCAAGAAAGGATGTAAGGAAAGTCCCAAAAACTACTGGTTGCTCTGATTAACAGGGTGAGGTGTTGGACTCAATAATCAGCAAGAGATAAACGGGCAGTTGGAGGAGTCTGAGAAAGCCAACATGGATTTGAAACAGACTGATCATGCTTCTCCAAAATAATTGAATTATTTTGAAGAGTTTACAGGCAAGGTTAATGAAGACAATGTGATGGACGCTGTCTGCAATTTTGAAGCACACAACAAGGCACTACATATAAGGGTTAATTAAATTGAGGCTCATGGAATCAGAGAGTCAGTGTACAACTAGATAATAAGTTAGCTTCAGGACAGAAAACTGCCCTGCCACAGCACAAATAAACTCAATATTGAAACCAAAACAGGATACCTGGCAAATACAGCTCACCACTTGCTTCAATTGACCTCCAGGTTGCTTTTGACCAAACAACATCTCAGGACACTGTCCAGGGGCATACCCCTTGTCCATCTGATGTCTGCCAGCTCCTCAAAATGATCAGGATCCTTCTTCAATACACTGGCAGAATGAAATGGCACGGAGTACCAGCAACTACCATGAAAAAGCTGATTTAGGGATACTGTGCACTGGGACACAGCTCACAGACTCAACCAGGCTCAGGCTGCTCACTTGGTCTCACAGCAGTGTCTCATGTGGCACATCGTACCTATGTGGCCACACCATCCCTGCCTCACCTTGCTGTGCCATACCAGTTAGCATGTTGGCACTTCAGACAGAGCCAAAGTCTGCATATGCTGCTACATTGTGTGCTCTTCAGTGCAGACACACAGACGGTGTGCTTATCAAGAGAGATCTATCTAAGGGCAGGGGACGAAGGCTGGGCACGCTGTGAGGAACTTATTAATGTACAACCAAGCAAGATGCCAGTCTAATACCCAC